GAACCCGGGCCTAAGACAAGTGGCGACTAGGGGGCTCATCTGACACCAGGTGCTGTAAGTTTAGAACCTGCTTTAATTTTTGGTTTATGCTCACAATTATTTAGAGAGCCAATGAAGTGCTTGGAGGTATGACGCAGGTGAGGTTGATCAGTAATATGGCTGCCACCGAGGTTTACAATGAAGCTCTAGCGAGATTAAAGGTTTGTACTGGGCTCTAGGATCTTGCTTCGATGGCTACTGATAGGCAATCTAGGAGATCGCCGAGTTCGCAGCGCGAAAAGACCATCTTAGGGCTTCGATAATTTGTAGTGCTGGTGCCGCCTCGGCGAACGAGTCCGCTCTTGCGAAGTTCCTTGGGAGTCTTCCGAAGGTGGAGTCACCTGTCGCGAATAAACCACTGTTTGATTTTGTGGCACCAGCCAAGGCCTTCTTCCCATTACCATACCAGGTTTCTTATACTGCAATGTGTGTGAAGACAGTTCCTTACACCAACAAGGACGGGGCGTCATTGCAAATGCTAGCTCAGCTCTTGACACACAAACACCTCCATCATGAGATTAGGGAGAAAGGAGGGGCGTACGGAGCTGGTGCGTTCCATCGGGGCGCTGGTGGTGTATTTGGACTTTATTCTTACCGAGATCCAAACGTGTCCAATACACTTAAAACCATGGAGGGCGCCGGAGAGTTTGCGCTGGGGAATGACTGGACTGCGAGAGACTTGGAAGAAGCTAAGTTGAGCGTCTTCCAAGGTGTTGATGCACCAACGTCTGTAAGTGACGAAGGAATGATCAATTTTATGGACGGAATTACTGATGATATGAGACAAACGTTTGGCCCCATGCCCGAGCTTCTTTAGCCTCATCTTGTGTTGAATACTGACATATATATAGGCGACGAGAGCAACTCCTTGATGTTGGAGTGAACGATATCCGCGACGTTGCCCAACGATATCTTATTAACCAATTACAAAGGATGTCTGCAGTTGCAGTCTTGGGCGAGAAGAAAGACTGGGCGACACCGGAAGAGGGTTGGGATGTATTCCCTCTAAACATCAAGCCTGATGAACCGGAGAAGGTCAAGCTATAAGATGTTGTAGCAGCCGGTGGGTATGATTACTAAATGTACACCGCCAATTTCTGTAACTATTTTACACTTTAGTGGACACAAACGCCTCTCTTATATATGCCTTCTGAGTAAGTGCCACCTTTTTTTGTTTTGTTTCCTAATGTGGAACCTAGCGCGAACCCAACAGATCGTCTTCAACGTTTAGTCCATATGTTGAAGATCACTGGTTCTGGCGCAAGATGGAGACCGAACGGGACCTCCAATTTCAGATCCCTGCTTGAAAGATATTGAGTACAGGACTAAACTTGTATGAGGACAGCTATTTTTCAAGTACTGGTATTGTGGCAGGTGGAGGAGGGGCATCTCTGAGATCACGGATGTACTAGTACAGCGTATTTGAGATATAAGAACGGCCCGCTTGCAAAGTCTCAAGGCCTAGTATTGTTTTTTGTTATGGCTTCCGTAATCTACGAAACCAAAGAAGGTGAAACTAATGAAGTGACAATCGCGATCCTGGGGGTTGCCAGTTCCAAAACTGTAATTGTCAAAAACGTCAGGTTTGTCATGAACTATCGCTTACCACACCAACCTCTTCCCAGCAGGAATCATGTCACACTCGAGTATCCTATTAATGGCCTAGCCTGACTCTAATCCACTATATCCTAGCACTACCTCCACTATCAACTCTCTAGTGCTCATACTCGGATATGATATAATACAAGTATAGTACACGCAACCACAAACGGTCCCTCCACCGGTATCCAATCCAATCCCACCCCACTGCAATGAAGCTCAATGCTAAAACCGGTATGACCCCTCCCTCCCTCCAGGCTCCAACCCCCTCTCTCCAATATTCGGATATCCGTTAACAAAACCCAGCCCTCCTATCGCCCAAAATCCTCCTAGTTCCATACGAACCCCACCATGTACCGACCTACCACGCCTGGATGGAAGACGAGGTATGATACCCATCCCCCAAACTCTCACTCCTATGAAATCGACCGAACCTTATCCTTAACATGTCGAACTTCAGGACCTCCGCACAGCAACCGCCTCCGACCGCCTAACACTTCCGGAAGAATACGCAATGCAAAAGTCCTGGCGTGAGGACGGGGATAAACTCACTTTTATAGCTTGTCTTCCCCCTCTTTCATCCTCTTCCATTGCTGAAATGGTTAGAGCGCGCAGGGATGACGCGCCAGAACGTATGCTTGGCGACGTGAATCTTTTCCTGTACCCTTCGCCCGAGCACGATGAGGTGGAGGGGAAGGTCGTGGCGGAGGTGGAGGTCATGATTGCGCGAAGGGAGTTTCATGGGATGGGGTTAGGAAGAGAGGTTGTTGGGTTGTTTTTGTGGTATGTTGGGATGCGCAGAGGGGAGGTTGTGGGGCAGGGAGGAGGAGGGGCGGCGGTGAGGGAGCTGGTGGGGTTTAGGGTCAAGATTGCTGAGGGGAATGGTGGAAGTATTAGGCTTTTCGAGGGGTTGGGGTTTGAGAGGGTTGGTGGGGTCAGTTATTTTGGGGAAGTGGAGTTGGTTCGGGGGGTTGACGGGGGGGGTATGGAGGGTGGGGGTGGGGAGGGGGAACGAAGGATTTTGGGGTATGAGCATGAAGGTGAGGGTGAGGTTCCATAGGATTTGATATGGTATGTTACAGCAGTGGTGGGGGGTGCCGGATGAGGCGTGCGCGGGCGAAAGCCAGGGGAGTACGATATACGTTTCGCAGTCGTTATACCAGGTTACTGATATGCTGCTGTTCGCAGCTTCTCACTCAGGCAAACTACACCATGTGCTCAGCCAAATCCAAAACTCAATATGACCTTGACACAGGCTCTTCTCCACTTCTATAAACCTACAATATCCCCACTGACCACGCGCAGAGCGCCGACCCATGAGACCCGCCCGCCATCGATCCCGCCGCCCCTCTCTGCCAAAATATCATACCACGAAAGCTCACCCCCTCCCAGCCACCCCTTCCCCTCGCCCCGGACCGCAACCCTAACATCCGCCTACACCACAACAACCCTTCTAGAGTTTTGCTTCTTGCGCACAGACCCTAACGTCCTGCATGCCGTCATCTACATTCACCTCGACCCCGGCCTGTCCGGAACAATGAACCAGACCTACCAATATAGCGGCGGCATCCACAAGCTGCCAAGGGTGGGTCCGGCACTATGGCCATAGCGCCACTGCGAGCGTGCCCCGCCCTGCCCATAGTATAATCATTGTGTGAGGGGGTGACTGAATGGCATGAGCGCACCAGACACCACTCCCCCCAAAAAGTCGAGACAACCCTTCGCTGGGATCCACCGATACTCACGAGACCGCGCACACACGAGCGCATGACGGATAAAGGTCTGCAACATTGCTTCGTGAGTGCACCCACTGGACGAACTCGGGGCACTGGTTTCTATCAGCAATTCTTTGCACTCGCTGGAGGTTAGGGTTGCGGCGACGTTCGGGGAGTATATACCACCCAGGCCTGGAAGGGTTGCTAATAAGGCGAGTGACGCTTTAGCCGTGGTGCCCTTGGTGAATGGGTGGGTGGTTGAGCTGGGTGCGGGGGAGGGGGAGGTGAAGACTGGGTACATGGTTTATATTTCGGGGGATACGTTATATATTGATGAACTCGAGGAAATTCCTGAGCTGTTTTAGGGGGGGTTGATCTATCTTAGTTCATCTTATCATAATATTAAGTTACTCCTCTAGTGGGGGAGGCTGGCGGGGGATAGGAGGAGCGACTATCCCTGGGCCGTCATTGCCATTCGTTGTGGCTGCTATGGGGATTCATTTGGTGCATTTTGTTAATGCCGAGGTGACGATTCTTTCACATTTGAGCATGCCCTCACTGTCAGTGATACTTTGTCCGCGTTTCATGGCTGATGAGGGACAACGATTATGAGGTATATTTGAGCCCCCTAGCCTCAGAAAGGCCGCGACAGGGTTGGATGGGAAATTTGTGTACCTAGCTCTGGGGAATGCATTTGAATTCGAAGTGAAGGTTAAGCTAGAGGGTATCTAGTAGTAATCAGAAAAGCAGTCTCCCTCCCATGTAGCACAGCAGAACTTCCTATCGGTCATCACTCAAAGTACGTCCCAGTAGTTTGAATCGTGGAACCGCCATCGGATAGCGAAAGAGAGAAAACATTGATGCCATTGAGCGACCATGTTTCACTATACAGCGTTCCCGCCGGAGACCCGCGGATACCCATCTACCCAGGTCGATGAATGAGCCGATCAAGCCATGCCCGCCTCTAAAAAAAAGACCCTGAGCATGAATCAAATCTCTCTATTAAACATTTTTAAACATTTTTTTTTTATTTGTTTGTGAAACAGAAAAATAAATCGTTTTTTTTTGTTTTTCGTACACATCATTTCTTGGAAGTAGCGGGGACGTCGGTCGTGACGAGCGCTGGTTTCCCATTAGCAGACGCTGACAGGAGGAAGGGGAAGGGAGGGGAGGGGACAAACCAGGAGGAAGACTCTGCTTCAACTTCTCCGCCTTCTCGGCATCGTGGAGGACGAGGGTGTACAGGTGGCGATGGCAGCGAACCTTGAACTTTATGGTGTTGGAGCCTTTGGTTGGCTTCTGTAATTCCATAGTAAAGCATTAGTATTTCCCTTTCTGTCTCCCATTCACTCCCTCTATGAGACCCGGTTGATATGGATGGGTCGGGATTGAAGAGCCATCGGTGAGGACAAACCTTAATTCTGGCAGCTATGTACAATGAAAATACATATTAGCAAACACGAATTGAAGTTTCCCGGGGGGAGGGAGGGCGAGAGAGAGAGAGAGGGATACCCTTAGCATCATCCCTCTTGCACAGCTCAAGAAACTGCTTGATATCGTGAACTTGTTTCGGCATGTTGATGGTTGTGGGTGTTTTTTTGCCAATGCCTTCCTTCCCGTGCGCTTTGCCGTTCCAATTCGTAGTCGTGGTGGGAAAAAGAAATCACGAGTGCATAGAATTCGGGATGTGGTGGGTGGGTGTGCGTACGACTGCTATTTTATCCGAGGGCTGAGCCCTAGCTCATAATGTTCTTTTCGGGATCGGTTTCGATCTAATCTTAACAGCGGGAATCTAATCTTGGTCCCTTGAGAAACGAACCGAGCCAGCCACGCGTCTGTGGCATTTGACGTATGATACGAGTATCATATGATGGCGAACTTAACTGATGAGGTCAGAATTTCCCAGGCCTACCATCGCTAACTTATAGGTATGATACTCAAGTGCACCAAGTGAGTCCACCACAAATTCACTCTAGAGTGTCATAAACCCACTCCAGCCTCGTTTGCGCAACCCGTACGCGTGCCCGCCCGCCAACTCATCTTCCCTAATCCACCACCTATATCCCTACCAAACAAGTATGCCACAGACACCTTTGGATAAGATGCTTACTTCGAAAGTACTGTACTATTTCCCCATCCACCATCCTTCTGGATTACTTTCGTTCTTTGCTTCCTTGCTGTTCTAGATAGCTAGCTAGGTAGATAGAGGGGTAGATGACGATGGAAGAACTATACAGATATATTAACGTTGTTTCTCAGGATGCTTTCTTAGGTTTCTTCCCCGTCCAGCTTCTCCCCAAACGACTGCTACCCAGCTACTGTACCCCATCCAAGTCTCTACCCTACCCTGCCCTACTTGTGAGTGGAACAAAGTTATAATAACAAAACTCAGCATTCTCAGCAATGGTCATAGCAGTATCCGCCTGGTCAATAATGAAGCCGGACGTAGACTTGAGTGTACTTGGCGATCCTACTGGTGGTATTACCCCCCACCCCCCACCCTACCCTACCCCACCCTACCCTACATATCCTCCAGATACCGTTCTAACAAAAAACAGACCCGGAAGAATGGACGGTTGGCGAGATGGAGGTGTGGTTGGGGAGGGTATGTATTGTCTTCTATGAGCCCTGTGTGCTGTGGTGGGGTTTTGGGGGAATGGGGGAATGATTGAGCTAGAGTAGGGGGGACTGACGGCTTATTGTGTGGCAGAGAGGGCTAGAGACTTTCGGCACTCGTGAGGAGGTACTTGAGAGGGTTAGGATGTGCATGCGGGCGAGGAAGTAGGGGCGTTTTAGGCGACGGTTGTGGATAGGATGCACAAGGTGGCGTATCGAGAGGCGAGCTGGTCATGCGTATGCGTCTGGTACGATCTGTTGCTATTGTGGGGTATTTTGTAAGTGCGATAGTGGCGGTGGTATGGTAATTTGGCTTGTTGGAGTTCGGGACACGATTTGGATATGGGAAATTGTTATCAACTTTTCCTCTAACTTTTCAAGTAAACACAATACCTGTTAAATCTCTTTCTACCTTTCCTTCACCGTGCTCTCACTCACTCGCCTACCCTAGCTGGTGATGCCTAAGAAGTGCTTTCCAAACCGATTACCATTTTTCTAGATATTAGATCAAGTGAATATCGAACCCGTTCGGGTAAGATGGACATAAGAAATGTTGACTATTTACAATCAACCGCGGAATGAGGGAATGTGGAGCCCATAAGGAGAAAGAGAAAGAAAGGACCGCAAAGCATGAAAGGTATGAAAGAAGAAAATGAAAAAAGAGAAGCAAAGAACGAGAATATTTTGTACAACGAAGATCCAAATCTGAAGAGTAAACAACGAAAAAACAAAAGTAACAGTACTCGTACTACTCGCATCCACCTCAATCTCTACTTAGAAACAAACAAATCACATTTGTGTATTACTCTATAGTCCAGGTATGTCAATGAATAAGAGTAGGCCGATATAACGAAATTACCTCTTGTCCTGTCTCATTCTAGTAGAAATCAATCAATCATTCAACCACTTCTCACTCACTCCAAAATGGAGGTGCCAAGGGAGCAAGGGAAAAGGAGTATCCATCCGTAAGGGAGAAATTCACATCGATGGTGCTTAGTCGAGAAGCAAGAAATAAAATGAAAGGTTGAAATGGTAATCGTGGAAGATAGGTTCTAAGCAGTGGCCATTTCAAAAGCTCTGTGAAAAAGATCATGCATAGCGTGCCAATGGAATAAAATCCCCCCGAGCACACATACATGCCAAATGTTGTGGCTGCCACCGATCCAATCAAAACATCCCGGGTAAAACCTCTCGGGTACCTGCATGGCATATATTAGAGCGCCTGCGATGTAAACGGCAATCTATACCATGATTAGTATTCATAGCGATAACGAAGCAATGTCGCAGGGTAGGCGGCGGGGGCATACAGATTTCAACACTGGTAGGTAAAATAGGGCAACCCACGAGCGGCCTCTTGTTATGGATAATTGGATCATGGGGATGGTTCCAGTAGCTCCTAGAGTGACATAGAAGGCTACTCTCCAGACTCTCATGTCCGCTCTGTTGAATGCGGGCTTCCATGGGAGGATGACTCCAGCGACGCCAAAGAGGAAAGTAATAGTTATATAGATCGACCTGCTGATGGGCTCAACATAAAAGGCAGTATATTCGGTAGTGATAATACTCGCCGCGATCAGCATAGAGATGCCAGAGTAATCGACACAAGCGAAGCGCTCCATGGTTGTCTGGTGTGAAATGGAAGAGAAAGTATGCCAGATAGTAGAACAGGCGAGTGCCTTGGCTGCAGCAAGGAAAAACAGCCCATTGATGAACTTGTCGGCAGTGGTATGGTTGTTGAATATCTGTGACATGGGGTAGAAGTAAAAGGCGATCGCCAAAATGAGGATAAACCCGAGTCCGTGGGTCCAGATATTGCACGTTTCGTTATTAAGTGCAAAAGCCGACCTCACGCACTCCAATTTTGTCTCCGTAAAGCGGTACCCACGGGTGATGTACGGGTTCACCCGCCATGGGAAGGGTAACTCTTCGTAGGTTATCAACCGACGCTCCCGTGCAGCTTTAATGGCCCGTTCGATCGACTCGGCGAGCTTGTCCTTCGCATCGATAACGGCTTCGACTCCACGCATGGCCTGACCTAATTTCCGATCCATACTGGCATGCGAGCACATCTCGAATTCTGTCAAGAGCTCCTCTAGGAAACGAACGCCCGCGTGTACCTTCGCAGGTAGGGTCTCTTTCGCCTCGATAACCTCATGGTAACTAGACTCCAGCACCTCGACGATAACCCTAGCTCTTCGTTTCCCTTCCCCGATGACTTCCCCTCCAACTCTGCCGCATCCTTCGCGGACAGCCTGTAGCGTGTCGTACGCACGCTGGATACCCTCGTCAAGTTTTATATTTCCGTACTCTTCCAAATAGTCGAGACGTCGTTCAAGTTCGCTCAAGAACAGGTCAACCTGGGGGGGGCAAAAAAGAAAAGGAAAAAAAGAATAAAGTGAGCTTATGTGATCCCCCGGCCATAATTGGCCCCAAGAAATGGAGCTACAAAATGAGAAAAGGCTCAAACCTTGAGGAGAAGAATCGAGTCGTCCTCCAGGAAATCCGCGGAGAAATTGCGTGAACGGACATGATGTGAAGAGTGGCGACGGCTCTTTCTATATGTGACTTTCGGAGAACCAAATGTTTTCCAACTGTCGGTGGCCGTACTAGTGCTCGATCCCGCCGCTGCGAAACTAGCCATTTGTAAGTTGTTTGAAAAAACAAAGCAACACCCTTATGGCCTCTCCTTTCTCTTTCTGGGAAAGTTAAGAAACAAAACTAATATTTGGGCGGGGAGTCTGGTGTGGGTGGATTGGACTCCCTCGAAGTAGAGTGCCTGTATCTGCCAAACAGAATGGGGAAATTTTGGCAAATGAGAACAACCGTGGGTGTAAAAGAGAAAGGAACAAGGCTGCCCTTCCAGATAATATGGAGGGAAGTAGTGGAATTAAGGCAAGACGCGTAACACGACGGTTTACCTGGAACCAGGGGAGTGGGAGCGGTAGGTAGTGTAGATGGGTGTCTAGAAAAACAACGGAGGGAGACAAACAGAGGTTCAACCGTAGGGACCAAGGCAGAGGTGAATCGCGGGCGAGGGACTATAGGGTACCGAAGAAATGGTACACACCGAGGGCGGGGAAGGGAGTTTAGGAGAGAAGACAAAGGGGGGTGTGATAAATACGATATGATATGGGTACAAGTAGGTTAAATGGGGAAGGGGCGGCGGTGGAGGGCAGAAGGCATCAATACCGTGTGAAGCTCTAAGACGGAGAAGGAGAAGGAAGAAGGACGGACAGGAATCACATCTCTTTCAGCGTAGTAACGTAAATTAGTATCATACCAACACCTTTCTTTCTGGTCGTGGGTCACACTTTTCTGGCTGCCGGCACCCAACTCTTTAAATTTACCCCCGTACAACAATCCCCCAACTCGCAATGAAAACAAAAGAACAATATGATAACTGGGCTCAAACCCCGCTACGGTACGCGAGGTAAATTCAGAATGGAAGTGAATATCATACTCGAGGGGAATCTCAAATAATTGGACATTGTTCAAGGAGGTCCAAAATTTCCCCCTTTGCAAAAGGGGCGAAAACACACCAAAATGTGTGCCGTTCCGCCTCTCAGTGAGACAAAAAGAAAATAATAATAAATATTATCCCTTAATCTGTTGAGACATTCGGTCCAGATTGAAATGTCGTGCACTAACTTAGAATAGAATAGTGTATCGACATCTTGCAAGGTCAAATGATCTGAATCTTGTAGGAATGCTATGAGTAGCAACACGATACTGACCTATTCTCGCATTTTGGTTCCTGTTTACCAGACAGTTATCAATGGCATCACAGAAAAGAAAGACATTTACACCACTTGATATCAATATCATGAATAGCAACCAAGCACAAAAGCGGTACCGTCAAGATATGCCTCCAACACCCTAGGCCAATAGACTACGAGCGACTTGCAGAATTCAGAACTCACGAAACTGTGATCAGGATGATGCCTGTATGGAATCTGGATTTACCGATACAACTACTCGTGCGTCTCAGCAAAGATTTGGCACTTTGGCACCCCATTTGTCCTAGTGGGTGGTGCAAGTTCATTTTCACACAAGAGGTATAGTTTGTTAACAGATTACCGCTAGCAGCAGAGCTAACTTCTCACAGGAAAAATGTGTATGCTGGAAGCCAGAAGGAATATATGGTCTCCATGAATTCCGTGGCAAAGTAGCATCCTGCCGACCAAAGTTTATCAATAATGCCACATGGAAAAAGCCTGTCAACTGCGACCAAAGGAGCTATTGTTGCTCTGCGCATGTATGAGGGAAAGAGCTTTGAAGAGATTTCCACTATTCTTCACAAGTATTGAGGTATGAAAATATCATTTCTATCACTTATAATGTTCTGACATTTGTGAACACAACTGCTATTGTATACAACTAATATCAAAATAGGAACATTGTCCAAACTCAGATCACACAATACAAGACATGTTAGCAACAGCAAAACTGGGCAATCAGACCCATTTGGAGCCTGCAGTACCAGAAAACTACTCTGATGGTTTAACAGAATCCAATTAAATGGGTGCTCTTGCTACTCAAGATGTAGAACCTTGACTATTGACTTTCCCGGAGATCGCACAAGAGGCTGGAGTTGATATCTCATAAGCAACAGTGTACCATATGATGAATCGGCATCATAATTTGTTTTACAACAAATGCCGCTCAAAACTACCTTAGATCTTACTGGCAATTTTGCACAGTAAAAATTGGTTAAGTAGGACCTTGCTCAACCAAATTGAGTTTTTTGTCTTCAGTGATAAAATGATTTTTAAGGTGGGAGATCTAAGAAGACTTTGAAATATCACAAGATGGAAAGGTAAAGATCTCTATGCTTATGTGGTACCAGAGAAGACAAAATCTGAATTAAGTATCACAGTTTTGAGCTGTATTTCTCTGGGGTTTAAAGGTCCACTATGGGTATATATCAAGGAAATACCTGAGAAGTGGATTATGAATAATGAAAAGCTTAGAAGGAAAAATGAAGAGAAAGCAGGTCAGATTGCATAACGCAGACTTAATGCAACAATTCCAAGTACTAAAGAACACAGGTACTAGGAGCCATTAAATAGTAACATTGTACTTTATAATACCAACTGAGCTCCAGATCAGATACAATATATGCCCTGACGTCCATATTCGGAATTTGGTGAAGAGATATGAGGTAGAAGTAGCGGTGGAGGATTGGATTAGTTGTTATATTAGAATGAAATTCTTCATGAGTATCATTATTCATTTGTTTAATATATTCAAATTAAAACTGGCCAGCACTGTTGGGTAGTAGAGAGCAATGCAGGTAATTACACTCTGGCAGCAAGGATGGATCGTGAGGAAGCTATCACTCAAAGTATATATTGAATTCCTAAGTGGTCTCCAAACTCACTAAACTTAAATGAGATTGAATCTTGTTGGAACTATCT